TGGGGGCGTCGAGGAAAGAGTTCTGCGGGCGGGGCAGGGCAGGGCACCGAGCCAGAGGCGCAGTCCCGTCCAGGGTGGTGCGGGGGGCCCGGCAAGATAAATTGCCCCTCACCGCCCCAGCTGCCCTCCCCTCACTTCCTGTCTCATCTGCCCTGGGCGATCCTTCGCCACCGCCCCAGATTCCTCCTCGCCGCTCAGTTCAGTCTCCGGCCCAGCAGCCCGCCGCGCAGGTAAAGCCCGCCGGGCCCTCCCAGCTCCGCGGTCGCCCGAGGGCAGCCTACTCCACCGTCGGCTTCCTCGTGGGTGGCCCTCGTCGCCGCTCCCCTCGGTACCGCGGACGCTGGCGGCGTCCTCCAGGCCCGGCGAGTACGGCGGACCCGCGCCCTGGCGGGCGCTCACCCGGACACCCCCGCCTGCAGAAGTAGACAACGCCGCGTCTGCCCTCGCGGGAGCCCCTTTCTACTCCCGCCCCCTGGAACCCGTGGTCCCGACTCCCCTTCTCTGGGATGCCCAGTACCCAGGGGGTGTAGCGCTCCCCGGAGGCTGGGGCGGGAGGCAGGTGGGCGTTGCTCCCGGGGCGTCGCGGTAGAGAAGCAGATGGGGAGGAGTCCGTGAGATTCCGAGGTGGAAGCCGGGGGCGGGGGTGTGGAATTAACCCGGCTTCTCTTCTGGTTCCAGGGGCTGCCGGCAGCGCCTGCCCTCGCTCCTTGTTCTCCCCGCCCTAACCCACTGGCAGCCTCTTCAGTCCCTGCCGCCCGCCCCTCTGGCTTCACTCTGGAACAGCCTGCCGCCACTCCGTCCCTCCATCTCGGCTCCACCCTCCCCTCCTCCCACTAACATATCACATTTCCCCTCGTGCCCTCTTCTGCTGCTGTTCCTCTCTCCATGACTGTGAACTTCGCAGTCAGGTTTATTTAGGTGGCACCATCTGGGAGACATACAGGAACCTGTTGCCCTGGGTAAGTCTCCCCTACCTGCTCCCAAAAAAGAATACCTACTCCTGCCTGGCCAGGCATTGCACCTTCCCAATGCTGGGAGGAGGACGTGTCTGTGTCTGAGTCTGAGTCTGGGCGGGAGGGTG